TGCTAAGCACGAACATTTAATCTGCCCCACCAATTAATATGGTAGGAAGTAGCATAATATGTAGGTATTTCATGCCGAGTATAGAAAATATCATCGAAATATGTTAGTAGGGATTTCTTTCGGTATTTCTCGTAGAGCATTTCATAATACATCTTTTAAAAAAATTCAAGATTTTTATCATTTATCTATGCTGAGATATATGCAAAATAAAAAGTGTACTAACATTTTGGGAGATGTGGTGTTTTCGACAGTGGGCTAACCATTAATTTACCAAAAATATTCTGCAAATAGTAGAAAACATATTATAAGTACCCATGATTGCCAGTACATAATGTTAAAGTTTAATTTAACACTGAAAACAAACTGTACATTCGAGCACTTTTTAATCTATAAGAAACCTGCACGAGAGACGCTAACAAGAATGGAACAATCAACAATCTAAAATGTATTTCATTGATTTTCTTATCGCTCTTATTCAGAAAAACAGATTCTTTTTCAAACATGCTTCCTCACATTATATTCCATTTTTTTTTATTAAAAAGAAATGTTTTTCTACTTTTATGTCATTTTATCCAATCACTTATCTATTCATTTATTCTAGATAAATCATCGAAACATTTATCCAATTAACTGTCATACAAACACTACTCTGCAGAACACATTCTGTCAATATAAAAAGAAAGTAAATTGTCTCTGATTCACATTATATCAGGAAATTTTACCATAAATTCTAGCTACGCTGGCCAAACATGCGTGTAAATATGTCATACGACTGCTTGAATCATTTCTCCTCTGCAATTAAATACAATCTGTATGTATGCTGAATATTTGGAAATTGCATCACTTTTTTGAAAAGTAATACCAGGCATTGAATTTCACACAAGCTGAAATTTGTAGTGCCCACTGTAACATAGGACATATATTTACTGTTATGTCAGTCTCAACATGTAGTGACTCGAACGATCGTCTGATAAATACCGATATATGTATATGACATTTTGATCAACATGGTATCTGAATTAAAATTTATAATAGAAATAACGTTTTTATTTTGTTTTTGTCTACTATGTTCCTTATTTGTTTACGAAAATTTCACTTATATTCGAGTCTGAACTAGGTATCTACTCTGCAAACCAGTTGAAGTAGGTTGGAAAAATCTTGATAGCGTAACCATTCGCGAAATACTCGAATTCTGGCCTAAGATAGCCTACATAAATCAAGTGTTGTATCTTGTAATAGAAAGTATAGAGTTATTTATATTTTTTGCTGAGATATTTGAAAAAGAAAAACAGATGTTGGATAACTTTTATCGCATCCTTTTATTCACCTTCAGAAAAAGACGAAACATAAAATATCCTTCTCGTAGGTATAAGATATAGTGATATGGCTCTTGGTGAGATTGATAAGATGCGTAAGATCAAAATTTTGCAACATTCCATTTCTTCAATAACTTGGAAAATAATCATTTCGATAAATTCATATAATTTTGTCGTATTTTCATTTAGAGTATTTATTGAAAATGTTAAAACAAGTATAATTGATGATTAAATGTAAAAAAAAAGACTTTTAAAAGGCAAAAAGTATGATATATGCTTTAGAAAAATAGAGAGAAAAAAACTTGAACGAAGCAATTGAGAATTAGTAGACTAACTACCAATAAAACCTTCACCATTGATTAGTAAACTTATGTTATATGAAAGTAATCTAAGATCAATTAGAGTTTGTGTTAGGTAAGATTTTTTAAATGTTGAAAAATCTTTTCGAAAGTAAAAATGACACAAACACTCTTCAATATTAGAGTGCATCCATATAACATTAAAAGTTTATGAAGATAAGAAGTTCGATAAGAGTATATAAAGAAGTCAAATAACAGCATGTAATGTTCAAAGTCATTTAGCCAATGTCTTGTATAGTTTTTAATCTTAAGCCTTCACCTTAAAATGTGTTCTCGTTTGTTGTAAACTCAATGATCAATCTATAACACAATATCACTTTGTTAATCTTGTATCGTATGAATAACCACAGCAACATTTGTGTTCCAATTTAATACTTACTTTGAAGTGAATCGTCGCAAGTATTATCTGATCGAAAAAACACCAAAGAACTGTATGTTATTAACAAGTATCCTGTTCAATTCATCGTCAACACTTTGAATTGAAAATAAGCTTTGTGATATAACTACCAATCACCTTGCAAACGAACAACAGCAACAATCTGTCCTTTCATGTATATCATTAACCGTGAAGTCAAATTTCTCTTGTTACTATGAGGAAACAGATTATCGCACAAATGAATAATTCTAAGTATAACTCTATTCAAGTATATCAGTCATTTGCAATTAATAGTTATGTGTTACTCAAATAGAACATCCGATATACTAGGTGAACATGTTTGAGCAAATATCTATTCAAAAAACTTCCTCAAAGCAAAGCCTAGTGCATCATTCACTCAATGGATAATGAATACATCACAAGTGACTAGTTTCAATCCTTGCTTTCTCTTTACTTATGTAACTTATCGAGAATTCAATGTGAAAGTTCATCATGTAGTGATAAATCACAAAATCGATGAATTATTCAAAATATAGCTTTGTTCAAATATACCAAACACTTTGAAGTAAAGTACACCTCTATATCATCTCATCGAATATCATTTTTCAAGCGAAACATTCCAATTGAGAGGTTTCTGTTCATATATATGATTATTATTGCATCAAAAATATAAAGACACATCTCATGAGGAAGGTCTACCCAGAAAATACATAGCAATAACAATATACCTATTCGTTTTCGCGCATGTCTAAGTCAAATATTAACTATAAGCATCGTGTTAAAATATTACACTACAAGTGAATCATTCTAAGAAAAGTCGTCTTCGATTATTCTACTCTTTAGAAATCGATGGCAACAGAACACAAGATTGAATAGCACATAGCGAATAAATAATCCTAAGCAAGATCGTGTTCAATTATTTTCCACTCTAGCAATCGATGACTTTAGAACACAATATTGAACAGCGCATACCATATGAATTATCTTAAGCACGGCCGTGTTCATTTATTTTACTCTAAAACAACCAATGATAGTAGAACATAATACGCAACAGCGTATGATAGATGAATCATCCTAATTAAGCTTGAGTTCATTTATTTTATTCCAATTTGGTCGTTAACATCAGAGCTTATGATTGAACATCGCATGACATATGAATTATTCTGACCAAATCCTTGTTCAGTTATGCTATTCTGATGCAATCGCTAACATCAGAATAAATAATTAAACAGCGTATGGCAGATGAATTATCCTAACCAATCTCGAGTCCATTTATTTTATTCTGATGCATTCGCTCTCATCAGAACATATGATTAAAGACCGCATGAAATATGAATTATTC